GTCTCAAAAAAAAAAAAAAAAAAAAAAAAAAAGAATGCTTCTCCACCAAAAAACAGAAAAAAGTAGCCAGGCATGGTGGTGTGCACCTGTAGTCCCAGCTACTTGAGAGGCTGAGGCAGGAGGGCTTCTTTAACCCAGGGTTTGAGGTTGCTGTGAGCTATGATGACATCACTGCTGTCTAGCTGGGGTAAGAGTGAGAATGTCTCAAAACAAAACCGTACATTAATTTTTATAATAGCATTATTCATAATATCCCCCAAATCCCAAATGTCCATTAACTGATGAATGGATAAAGAAAAAACAACATGCAGAATATTATTCAGCCACAAAAATGATAGACTTAATAAAAAACATTATGCTAAGCAAAGGAGACAGTTACAAAGGACCACATACATGATTCCATTTACATGAAACGTACAGAACAGCCAGCTCTGTAGAGACGGGGAGTAGATTAGAGGTGGCCTGGGGCTGCAGGCACAGCAGAGATTATGGCCAAGTAGAACAAAGGTTCCTTTTTAGGGTGATGAAAGTGTGCTAAAGTTGATTGTGGTGATGGCTGCACAATTCTGTGACTATAAGCACTGCACTGTACACTTTAAATGGGTAAAATATGTGTTACACACAGCCGTTAAAAGACGTGAATGGATCTGGGGGATTTTTGGAGGCGGGGGCTGACAGGTTTTACTGATGAATTCATTAAATGTAAAGACATTTAAAGAAAACATCTCTACCTGATTAGAACCAAGAGCTAAAACTTAATTTAAGAAGCTGTGGAAATGTTTCATTTTCTACTCTGACATGTTCACACGTATTTCCTGAGCAGACAACATCATAATCATTTTCCTCATCTCTGCACAATTATAATTTTTATCTAAAGTGCTTAGAACTCAATTATGCTTACCTTGATAAAATAAGCAAGTGTTTTTGGTTTAAGGGAAAAAAAACAAAACAAAAACCAAACCCAAATTCCAAAGGTTAGGGGAGTTACCTTTAAAAAAAAAATGACTTTCTTGTCATATATAATAAAGTTTGTGTCTCTCCTGGCAGGTGCTGGGAATGGTTTACTAGCTAAAGACTTGAGGGGTTTCTGCTTCATTTGCATTTAGTAAATAAACAGTAGAAGAAATGTATTCAGAAAAAGCAAAAAAAAAAAAAAAACCACAGGGATAAATCACATCACATCAGATTAGGTCTGTAGTGATCAATCAGGAAAGGCTAATTCTGGAATAAACTAAGCACATCAACAGGAACACCTGTTTGTCCACTTGGAACAAAACCACATTTGCTCTAAGCGCCAGCAATTCCTGGCCTGGAAGCCGACTTAGACACAGACCGCAGGGGACCCTGTCACTCAGGGTCCTGGACAATGTAACAGTAACAGCTAATGTTTGTGTTGTCATGCTGACTCTATCCCTGGCTCTTCACACCCCTGTGTAGTGGCTTCTCTTATTTCGCCATTTTATAGGTGAGGAGTTGAGATGCTCACAGATGGAGTGACTGCTGGTGGTCACACAGCTCTGGGTCCAGCGCTCCCACACCCACCCGTTCTCTGGGCCTGCTTACCCTGCACTGCTGCTCATACGCGCTTCTCATCTGTGTCAGCCTCTCTTCTTGCAGAAAGAATTCCGCACTGCTGGGATCAAGGTCACCAAACTGGAAGGGGGACAGGGCAAAGCTGTCATTTTTCCCGTGTGCCCTCCTTTGACCTAACGCCCACAAAAGCCTCCCTTTCTGGTGTTCACCCAGTTTCTGGAGAATTTGAGGAATGTGACATTTGAGCAGAAACCCTGCCAACTGGATGACAGGAGAGCTAACTGAAGTGACGGTTCCACCACGGCAGGGGTCACGTCTCAGTGCCAAGCAATGTTTTCCATCAGAACCAACCAACTCAACAAGAGCTCTGCATGAGAGCCCTGCACGAGAGCCCTGCCAGATGATTCCCTGAGATGTTCTTGGTGGCTCCGTGTCTGCCACGCAGCATAATCTACCCTGTGGGTTACCTGTCAGGAAATCAGATTCAAACAGATTCACCTTTTCCGCTAACACATTTTCCAGATTTTTCTGAAGTTTATCTGTCAGATTCTCATACTCTGCCAACTTCTCTGCATTTTCCAGAAGCTCATTTTCCAGACGACTGTTTTCCTGAAGAAATATGGGGAAATTAAATGTGGCACAGGTTAAGAAATAAGCAAATTGTGCCATCTTCTGCATGGCATAAGTCAGTGCTTAGATTAGGGAAATTTATCCACTTAGAAATCTGTAACAGAGTAGAGGAGAAAAACATTCCATTTTATGATAAAAACAAAGTTTGCTCCCCCCCCTTTTTTTTGATCCTGTTAAGACTGTGCTGTCCAGCATGGGAGCCACTAATAGCCACGAATGGACACTGAGCATCTGAAATCTGTCTAGGACAACTGAGATACACTGTAAAAGACACACAAGATTTCAAACAGCACAAAAATAGCTCAGTAATAACTTCTGTATGCTGACTGCATGTGAAAATGATAATACCTTGGAGATACTGGATTAAATCAAATAATTTTAAGTTATACTTGTTTCTTTTAATCTCTTACGGTGGCTATCTTCAACTTTGAATTTATGTTTGTGGCTTGCATTATGTGTCTTTTAGAGAGCATGCAGAATATTTGATGGCATGAACATATTCTCAATGTACAGTACAGTCAAATAAAGCTGGCTACTAACCACCTTGTTCAACTGCCTGCAAAAGAGAACTGAACAACAGAACAAAGACCTATGAATCAGATCTGAGAACCCAGAGATGACACCATCCTCATATTCCCATCTGATCTTTGATAAAGCAGATAAAAACTTACACTGGGGAAAAGAATCCCCATTCAATCAATGGTGCTAGTAAAACTGGGAAGCCACATGTAAAAGACTGAAATAGGATCTGTACCTCTCACCACTTACAAAAATTAATTCATGGTGGATAAAAGACTCAAACTGAAAGTGTGAAGCTGTAAGAATTCCAGAAGAAATTACTGGGAAGACTCTTACAGACACGGGCCTTGGAAAAGAATTTATGAAGAAAACCTTAGAAGTACTCACATCAACAACAAAAATAAACAAGTGGGACCTGATATTAAAATGTTTCTGCACAGCCAAGGACACAATCAATACGTAAACAGACAACCCACAGGATGGGAGAAAATGTTTGCAGGCTGTGCATCCAGTAAAGGGCTAATAATTGCAATCTACAAAGAACTCAAGGACTCAGCAAGAAAAAAAATCAAACAATCCCATTAAGAAGTGGACAAAAGACATGAACAGAAACTTCTCAAAGGAAGACAGACAAATGGCCAACAAACACATGAAAAAATGCTCATCATCTCTAATCATTTGAGGAATGCAAATCGAAACCACAATGAGATATCACTTAACTCCAGTGAGAATGGCTTTTATCAAAAAGTCCTAAAATGGCGCCTGTGGCTCAAGTGGCTAAGGCGCCAGACACATACACCTAAGGTGGCGGGTTTAAATCCAGCCAGGACCCGCCAAAACAACAATGACAGCTGCAACCAAAAAATAGCCAGGCCTTGTGGCGGGCGCCTGTGGTCCCAGCTACTTGGGAGGCTGAGGCAGGAGACTCACTTGAGCCCGGAAGTTGGAGGTTGCTGTGAGCTGTAATGCCACGGAACTCTACTCAGGGGGACAGCTTGAGGCTCTGTCTCAAAAAAAAAAAAAAAAAAAAGTCCTAAAACAACAAGTGCTGGCATGGATGTGGGGAGAAAGGAACTCTCTGACACTGCTGGGGAGACTGCAGACTAGTACAGCCTCTATTGAAAGTAATATGGAGATACCTAAAAGAAGTAAAAATACATCTACTATTTGATCCAGCAATGCCCACTAGATATTTACCCAGAGGAAAGATGGACACTTTATCATAAAGACATTTGCACTTAAACATTTACAGCAGCAATTCACAACTGCAAAGATGTGGAAACAGCCAAAATGCCCACCAGCACATGAGTGGATTAATAAAATGTGGTGTTTGTATACCATGGAGGACTACTCAGCCATAAAAAATGGTCATCTCGTGTCTTTTGTAATAACCTGCATGGAGCTGGAGTCCATTCTTCTGAAATATCACAAGAATGGAAAAATAAACACCACATCTACTGAATACGGAATTGGAACTAGTCAATCAACACTTATGGGCACGTGGGGAAGTAAAACTCAATAGGAATCACATAGGCGGGAGAGGGCTGGAGGGGTTGAGTCAATTCACACCTAATGGGTACAGCACACACATTCCCAGTGAAGGGCACACTTATAACTTTGACCTGAAATGTACAAACTAAACTATGTAACCAAACTGTATATGCCCCTGTGATTTCTGAAATGAAAAAAAAAAAAAGAATAAAAGGCAAGAAAAAAAAGCAAAGTAACTGCAAAATTAATTTACTGAAGTTTTAGTTTTGTTTATGTATTTTTAAATAACTTATATTTTGGTTTAAAGATATAAAAGTTACACACATAAATTGCTCATAATTTGCATGTTTCAGTTATTAATACAATGAAATATTGTATCTAATGAGACCCACAAAAGGCTTTTTTTCATTTAAAAGGATCTGTATAGGTCATACTTTTAAGGAAGATTTCCACCCGTGTGTGTTAAAACACACACACACACACACACAGACGTGCCATTTGACATATTTTCTTCCCCACTGCCAAAGGCTGATTGGAAGAACATTACTTTCAAAGTACATTTTGCCAAAAGAATACAGAGCCAGCATATTTTTAATATATTCTAGTTCACACTCTCATACAACATAGAAGAAAAAGGAAGGAACTTGAAGTGTTTAAAAAAATACCATTTTGTCCTAAAATGCCAATTTTATAACTCTGATCTTTCAAAGTATAACTAAATTTAGATGCTAAGCAATAATGGGGTCACCGCTGTGCACCAGGCCCTCTGCTGGCACTGTGCGGAGTGAGGAATCAGGCACTGTCACTGACCTTGGTCAGGGGACAGGCGGGGATACAACTACCTATGACCCAATAGGACATGTACCATCCTGGGGCCCTGGGGCTCATTTTTTTTTTTTTTTTTGCAGAGAGTAACAGCATGATTATATCCGATCATTAACTACAGTAACTCCAACAGCCACAGGGAGGTAGGGGAGAGAGATGCACGGTGACTAGCTGAGAAGTCACGGTGAATTTCCTAATCAGAGGGCAGGGAAATGCAGGGGAAGGGACAATTCTCAGAGGCATCTCTGAGCATCAGCACTACTTAGAGACTGACCAGGGACAATGACTGAGGCTCTTGGCTTCTGGGACTTACAGCATCACCATCAACAGTGACACTGTAGATCAGAGGAAAATTCAGGAGGTGAAGTAGTTGGACTGTTAGGGAGTACTAAGTGGTCAGTTTGGGGCAGGTGGCAGCATTTTCGGAACCTTTTGTCATAGCAATGATAGCAAACATTTTACATGCACTTGTCACTTTCCAGACACCAGGCATGCATCATGTGACTTAGTCCCCACACCAAGGCTACAGGGTAGGTACCATTATGGTGCCCATTTTGCACATCAGGAACAGGCCAAATAAACTGATCAAGGTTTTCTAGTAAGTGGTAGAACCAGATCTGAACCAAGCAGCACGACCCTGCCGTGTCAGACCAGTGAAGAAAAGGGCTGCCGCCTCCACAGCGGACAAGAAAGAGGGAGGATGTAAGGAGGGAGAAGGCCCATGTGGAGGCCAGGAGAGACACCCAGGCCTCTGTGTGGCAAGGGGCAAGGCGGGGCCCCTGCTGAGATGAAGGAGGGGGACAGCGGTCAAGGAGAGGGAGTTCTCAAGGTGAGGGGTGGGCTTGGAAGAACAGGTGAGAGCTGGGGTGTCCGCCGGGTGCCCAATAGCCTTGAAGCCCCACTGCACCTGCTGGGGCTGAGAAGAACAAGAGACATTCAGCCAACTGCCGGCAGAGGCACTCAGCCACATGGCTGGCATACCCAGGGCCTGGGAGCCCCAAAAGTCCAGACACCAGCAGGGCCCTGCCGTGTCTGAGCATGACCCAGCTGGGGAAGCTTACAGGGACTCCTGGACTGCTTACAAGGCGCGGTTTTCCATGCAGTGTCGCCAGCAGGGACACAGACCCCAGAACTAAGAAGATAATTACCCTTAAAGAGAGGGCCAGGCGGTCCCGGATGTAGCTCTCCTCGGTCTTGGCCTTTTCGATCTCCTGCTCGAGTTCCACACGCTGCCGGCCCATCTGCTGCGTGATCTGCTCTCTCTCCCTCCGGAGCTCGCTCTTCAGGGCCGCCATTCGCTCCTTGTACTCTTCATCTAGTTTCCTGTGAGGAGGAGAACCACAGAGTGCCATCAGGCCCCTCAACATCACTGTAAGGATCCACCAAACATGGAAACAGAGTCACAGATAGTCCCTGAGAAACATGGGGTGTGTCCTGCTTTCCCTCAGGGTGGGGCTGCCCCATTCCAGCCAGGCATGGCCAGACAGGCAAGTGTACAGAGTCCCGGGCTCTGTTCTGGTCCTCACCTGCAGGGGAGCAGAGTCCCAGGCTCTGTTCTGGTCCCCAGCTGCAGGGGAGCAGAGTCCCAGGCTCTACTCTGGCATGGGACACCCCCAGCTGCAGGGAAGCAGAGTCCCAGGCTCTGTTCTGGTCCCCACCTGCAGGGGAGCAGAGTCCCAGGCTCTACTCTGGCGGGGATACCCCCACCTGCAGGGGAGCAGAGTCCCAGGCTCTACTCTGGCATGGGACACCCCCAGCTGCAGGGGAGCAGAGTCCCAGGCTCTGTTCTGGCATGGGACACCCCCAGCTGCAGGGAGCAGAGTCCCGGGCTCTGTTCTGGTCCCCAGCTGCAGGGGAGCAGAGTCCAGGGCTCTGTTCTGGTCCCCAGCTGCAGGGGAGCAGAGTCCC